ATTATACTGCAAAGCAACTATGATAAAATCAGCATGGTACTGACAGAAAAAAAAGTATCTAGGATCACTGGAACAGATTAGAAGATAGAGACAAAACTACAAACATACTCAGCAACTTTATCTTTGAAAAAGTTTCCGAACACGTTCAGTAGAAAAAAGATAGCCTCTTTAACAGACGGTATTTGAAAAACTGGCTTTCCTCATGCTGAAAACTAAAATTAAATCCAGGTCTATCACCATGCACCAAAGTTAAAGATACAAATATTAAAAAAGAAACACTAAATCTACTGGAAGAGAAAGTAGGTAGACTTTTTTTTTTTTTTGCATTTCAATAATTTTATTGAAAAGTATATCTCTTAGTACCAAACATAATGGTAGTTAGTTAGGTTACCTCTGTCAACTCAAAATTAGTACTGATGTTTTTAACATTGAAATATATCAGCCTTGTGGTAGAACTGAAGTTATCCATCCAGCACAGTTTACAAAAAGTTAAAAGTAGAATATACTGTGGTTCTTTGGTTGACATTTCAATGCTCATTTATCTGTGACGTGATACCAGACTCAGGCTCCAGGCCTTGCTGAGCTCCTGTTGACAACACTGATAGTATATTCACATCTGACATTCATCGGCTCACAAGGAAAAGCCCAAATGCTGCCTCAGCGATCTCACAATTACAGAGGTGCCTGCTTGCTTTTCTTAACATCTAGTATAGAAATTTGTGGACAATATTCTATTCCAAAAAAAAAAAAAAAAAAAAAAACAAAAAAAAAACCGAGAAACAATAGCAGTTTTGTAGAAACACTTGCTTTACCCTAAGTTCTGGCTAGATAAAGCACTCAGGTTCTATGACTTTTTGAAGACATACAGAGTTCATGAAAACAAAAAAAGTACATGGGAAATACTTCAAAGAATCAACAGCTGGGATCTCAGCATATTGAAAAGTTTTTGCACATCAAAAGAAATCACCAACAGTGAAAAGAAAGCCCATAATCTAGGAAAAATCTTAAACAGTCTCTCAGACAAAGGACTTCTACCTAGTTAGTATATAAAGACAGAATTCAGAGAACTATCCAGTCCAAAATGAGCATCATATATGAATGCACACTTCTCAGATGAAGAAATATGAATGGCAAATAAATATATAAAAAAGTTTCAACATCACTGGCCATTGGACAAATTCAAATTAAAACAACACAGATTTCATCTTTCCCTAGAAAGAATGACTATAATCAAGAAGTCAACCAATAACAAATGCTTAATGAGCTGTGGGGAAAAAACAACCCTTCTCCATTATTAGTGGGAGTGTAGACTGGTACAATCAATGTGGAACACTGCTGACACTCCTGAAAAAACTAGCAGTAGAAGCCCCATTTGACCCGGATATTCCCCACTTCTGGTTATTTTTCCAGAAGAACTGAAAATATCATACCACAGTGATAAATGTGCACCCATGTTTATAGCAGCACAACTTGTTAGAGATATCTATTGGAATGAACTCCAATGCCCATCACCTGAGCAAGGGACAAAAAAGATGTGGTATTTTTACACAATGGAGTATTATTCAGCTATCAAAAACATAAATCCAAATAAATAGTGCAACTAGACACTTTACTCGTAAGTGAAATAAATCAGACTCTCAAGTATAAACATTGTATTAACTCCCTAGTGTAAGAACCTGAAAGTGTAAATAAAGCCTGAAAGATAAAATACACTATAGAGAAAAGAAACTGCTTGAAAGGTAAAAATAACTGGGATGAGGAAAAGGAGAAAAGAAGGGGAAAATATGCATGCATATACAAAGGATAGCTAGGATGTTTGTACTACTAATTTATTTATATATATATATTTTTAGAAAGGAGTTAATGTCTAAAATTTTTATTTTGACCATTTTTACATGCTTATATCTGGTAATCTGAGCAACTACTTTGAAGACAACAAATGTGGAACATAAGAAGCCTTATTGAATTCATCTTTTTAAAATTCTGTGTTATTCTAATGTGTTGTTTTATTCTCTTTAAAAAAACTTGATATATTTGTATACATTTTAAAAAGGTTAGATATTAAACAGCCCAGATGTTACAAACTTCTTCAACACAAGTTACAAACTTCTCCCTACTGAAGGTCAATAAATTAGATAATGACTTATGTGTTAGGTAGGGATGATTGACTCAGAGCTATTTTACTCCAAAATAAAGATGTAACTGTGCTACAAAAAATGTTGCCATGATTGCTATGGCATGTATGGCTATGTAGGACTTAAAATTTTCTCTGTAAAACTATGTAACTTTTCTTTAGCATTCAATGTGGATTTAATTACAAAGAATCCATGATTGCTAAGAAAAGTTCTCTGGTTATACTTTATATTTCAAGGTGCTTAACACTCACATGAAATTTTAATTAAAAAATTTCACTTCTACCAATACAATATGTCAGTAATCTTCTCTTCTGGTTGCTCAACAACTTAGATCTGAAGAGCAAAAATTAGGAAGATAGATGGGCTAAGAAGACACCTAGTATTTTGACCTTAGCCCTCCAAGGTCAAGGAGGACCCAGGATATAAGAGAATCTTGCTGCAACATCCTATAAAGCAAATGAGTCTCTGACATTCTGAATAAGATTTGTGTAGCCACAGAAGTGATTCTACAGTGTATAATTTGCGTAAGAAGAGTCACCAGATTAAAAACAAACAAAATAAAACCTCTCAAGCTTTCACAAAAAAAAAAAAAAAAAAAAAACTTATTCAAATAACAATCGTAGTGCATCCAGATGACAGACACTGATGGAAGTACTGAGAGGCACTGTACATGGTTCCAATACAAATACAGGTTAGATTTAACTGATTCTGATAGCAAGAAGTTACTTTTAAGTAATATATATTTCAATGTGACTTGCTTGGAAACATCCGGCAAAAAAATGTAACCACAAGGCCAGGGACATAGCTGAGTGGCATAAGGGCCTGCCTGGCAAGTACAACGTCCTGACTTTGATCCCCGGTATCGCCCTCCCCCAGCCAAAAAAAAGGGAATAAAATGTTGTCACAAAATGTATAAAACAATGTCACAGTAATACTAATTTCTCTAAAAATTGGTTCTTGTTGGGAATCCCAAGGACCTGATATTCAAAACAGATTTCCACCTTTCTTCAGTATATCCTCTCCTTGTTCTGCTAACTAAATAAGGGATGCCCAGAAAAGTTCCTTTGTCTTAGCTACAAGAGAATCTCAAATTCTGTAAGAAGCTTTCAAATCTCCTGGAGCCCTGAATTCATACTGATTTTCTCTTTTATTTAAGCTTTCATCATGCACTTGTTTTGGGGATTGTGGGTCCGATCGGTCTGCAATAACTAGAGAATAATATGAACCTAATCCTGGCTTAGAAAGAAATCTTAGTTCCAGAGGGAAAGAAGTTGCACTGGGAGGCAAAAAAGTGATACCACTGAGCTGGAAGCAAAGACTTTCTCCTATTTTGATCTCCTTAGGACTCTGAACAAGGAGTTACAGTGCAGAGAGTGGTAACTGACCCAGATGGTCAAGGGATAGAATATTACTCCACAGTGGAATAAAGAAAAACTATGCAGGAGATACCTTAGGGCACCTCCTACTATAACTATGTCCTGTTATTACAGTTAATGTAAAAATAAAAGAATCCAATTCAGGTAAAATATCAAATGGCCCAGGACCATCAGGAATGAAGATATGGGTCACCACACCATGAAAAGAACCAAGAGCTTCAGAGGTGCTTTCTGAAGGCCAAGGAAATACAGAATGGTTAATGTAAGGCAGTTCTAAATAACAACAACTCTGAGATCAGTTACAGACATAAACAGTAATCGATTTTTTATTAAGCTTGTAATATAATGTTGATAGATTTAATCTTGTTTTTGTAATGTTGATAGATTTAATATTGTTTAAGTCTTGTTAAACTTATGTTATAATGTTCAAGTCATGAAATGTTAGCAGCATCCCCCAAAGAAAACTTCCCTTCTATTTTAGGAAAGGAATTCATGTATTTCCATTTGTATGCAGGATATTTATATCATGTTAAGTATATTTATGAACTTGCTCTTGTATCTGGAGATCATGGTCTGAGAAACATGTCTTCTTGTGCTGTTATCAGGGTAGACTGTGATAGTTAACAGACTGAGACAACTTGAATACTTTTGCCCAGAGAATTTATGGGTTTGGAATACCCAACCTAGGGAAGATGGTTGCCAGAATGTCAAAATAAAAAACAAAGTTTGCTTTTGTTTCTGTGGAAGAGCTCTAGTATTCACCATCAACTTGGAAGTCACCTCTTGTCTTTTGTCACACTCTTCAGACTTTCAATGCAGACTATTAAGGCTCAGACTATTCATATTATTGTTTTCTGGAACACACCCTTTGATCTCCTGACACAGAATTGCATGGGAGTGTTACAATGAGCTCAAGCCTGGAGCTGGATTTTCTGGATACCAAGATCTTCTACATTCTTGTATGTTTGTGTGGGCATCCATTATAAACCAGTGCTGTAAATTCTATTTGTATGTATTTCCTTAAATCTGTTTCTCTAGTAAGCACTAATTCATTATTACAAATTATGATATCATTTATCAGACATGCTATCTGAACTATCACAATCAGAATCTCACCGGAGTATAGTCCATTTGTTGATATAAGTGACAGTAAAATTAACACAAAATTAGAAGTCATAACAAAATAGTAAGAAAACAAAATTTTATGTAAACTATATTTACACCAACATGAAAACAATATTGGGAAATATATGTACTTCATACAATAGAAATACGGTCAGTATATGCAGGTAATTTGTTAGGATATGAAAAATATACATCTAATTTCCAAGTTGTGTGATAACAACTAAAGTCAAAAAATACCTTTGCCACTCCAAATATAAAAAAATCTACATATACATTATAACATCAAATTTAAAATTATTTTTCATACAGAATATGAAGAACATATAACAATAAAATAAAATAGAAGGTGGTTGGAAATCCCATGAATTAAAAACAATAAAACCTATTTTTTAGTGGCCAAGACCACTCAACAATAAAAATGAAACAAAATAAAAATATGTAAGTATTAACCCTAATTGGAAGTAAAAAATACATTTTAGCTTACCTTGTTTAATTAGACACTATATATAAAATAAAAGACGTTTTACACAAAAATGCTAATTTCATTATAGCAAAGACTACAGACATATAATTCAGTATTTATAAGTGATCCACTGAAAAACACAGAAGGAAAACTTTCTAGGATAACTCCAGCTGGGAGTGTGTTTTCTGAAAAATTTATAAAGAAATACTGACATCAAAATTTCATTTAGTTTATTCAGGTCTCAACAAGGGGGGCAGAAGAGGGAAAAGAAGCTAAGAGAAAAATATGAAGGAAAAAATGGAAACAAAGCTTCTGTAAATGGGGAGGAACTGAAGGAAGACAGGGGAATAGAAGAAAAAAAACTGTTCATGGAATGTTTTCCCCATATTGCTTGTATACATAAGGTTCCTCCACAGTGTGAGATCTATGTATATAATATGAGGACTTACTAGCAAATCTTTTTCCACATGGCTTACATGCATAGAGTTTCTCACCTGTGTGAGTCCTTTCATGTCTTTGACAATATTTTTGTGTAGTGAATGATTTACCACATTGCTTGCACACATAAGGTTTTTCCCCTGTGTGATTTTTTTCATGTGCATTATAAGAACTCTTTGTAGTGAATGCTTTTCCACATTCCTTGCACACATAAGGTTTCTCTCCAGTGTGAGTTCTTTCATGTATCTGACAGTATTTGTGTGTAGTGAATGCCTTTCCACATTCCTTGCACACAAAAGGTTTCTCCCCAGTGTGAATTTTTTCATGTATTTGACAATACTGGTGTGTAGGAAATGCCTTCCCACATTGCTTGCATACATAAGGTTTTTCCCCTGTGTGATTTTTTTCATGTATTTTATAATAACTTTTTGTAGTGAATGCTTTTCCACATTGCTTGCACACATACGGTTTCTCTCCAGTATGATTTCTTTCATGTATTTGACAATAACGGTGTGTAGTGAATGCTTTTCCACATTGGTTACAGACATAAGGTTTCTCCCCAGTGTGAGTTCTCTCATGTCTTTGGCAGTAACTGTGTACACTGAATGCTTTTCCACATTGCTTACATATATATGGTTTCTCTCCAGTGTGAATTCTTTCATGGCGTTGACAGGTACTATGTACACTGAATGCTTTTCCACACTGTTTACATACATAGGGCTTCTCCCCAGTGTGAATTCTTTCATGTATTTTACAATTACTGTGCCTGCTGAATGCTTTCCCACATTGCTTACATGCATAGGGTTTCTCACCAGTGTGAATTCTTTCATGTACTTTACAGCTACTCTGTATAGTGAATGCTTTTCCACACTGCTTACATGCATAAGGTTTCTCCCCAGTGTGATATCGTTCATGTATTTTATAACACATTTGTGTAGTGAATGCTTTTCCACATTGCTTACATATATATGGTTTCTCTCCAGTGTGACTTTTTTCATGTATTTTACAATAACTGTATCTGCTAAATGCCTTCCCACATTGCTTACATACATATGGTTTCTCACCAGTGTGGGTTCTTCTATGTCTACAAAATGCAGACTTATCAAGAAATCCTTTTCCACATTGCTTACATACATAAGGTTTAGGCTCCATGTGAAATCTTTCATGAATTTTACAACAACTTTGAGTATTGAAGGCTTTCCCACATCTCTTGCATAAATATGGCTTCTTTCCAGTGTAAATTCTTTCATGTATCTGAACACCACTGGTAGTCCTGGAGGCTTTCATACATTTCTTACCTACAATGGTCTTCCCTGTAGGGTGAGTTCTTTTACTATTTTCAGAGTAGGCTTTCCCACATTGCTCATATTGATAAGGTTTTTCTCCAGTATTTGTCCTTGCATGCCTCTGAAAGGACTTGGGATCACTGCAGGTTTTTCCATGATCATTACATTTACTTGGCTTGTCATCAAATCCCAAACACTCATGTGATTTTAGTCCAGTGTGAGGTAAAATGGGCACATTTAGTGACAAATGCCCAATCAGGGGCTTTGTACAAGCAAGACTTTCGGCAGGCTTTAAATAAGCTTGCTGCATGTCCACACTAGCATCTAGGGTCCAAAGGAATATTTTTTCATGTTTAGTCCAAGTTTTGTATTGATACCATATTGGTACCTCTTTATTGCTGTAAAGAAGAAAAAAAAAAAAGAGAGAACAAAATTACTAATCATAATAAAAAATGTCTCCACATAAATAATTTACGAGGATAAGTTCTGGCTTGACGCCTGTACAACATTTTGAGAATAAATATGCTGAATGCCCTAGAGGATACCTCAAAAAGACCCATTCCCTAAAGGATGGCATTCATTTGAGAATTTCAAATTGATATATATTTGCAATATACAATGTCTAGTTTCCTTTAGGTCATTGATACATATGTATATCATATTGGATTATCTATTTCTATTCTTTATTACTTCTTCTCAATTTAATTCCCTAATTTATATGTTGGTATCTAATATAAAAGAAAACAGTTGATAATTTACTTTCGGCATCTGACTTATTTAACATTATGAGATGGAGTCAAACCTTTTTTTTTTTTGACATAAAATGTATTATTTTTCATGGCTGAAGATATATAACAATTTTTTTTCAGTGCTGAGAATTAAATCAGTCTTAGGTCAGATTTTCTCTGTCTCTCTATCTCTCTGTTTCTTTGTCTCTCTCTCTCTCACTTTCTTTCTTGACCACAGTCTTAGCACTAAATTCCATTTCTAATTTTTTATATTTCTTATTTTGAGTGAGTTCTCATTGACCATGAATATGCTCAGAACAAACTTCATGTTGTCATTCCACTTGTTCACCTTACTAGAGTTCTGAGATTATAAGAAGGCACCATGATATTGAGCCTATCCCATATTCTCTTTATCCTTGCATACAATAATGGACATTAGGCTACTAAAAGAGCTTAGGTATTATGAATTATTTGCAGAATTTAGCTATTGTGAAAAACCATACATAATCTGCTTTGAATATGAGTATGCATTTATAAGTAAAATATAATTTTAATTCGTTTCAGAATATACATAGGAAGGTTTTCCTAAATCAAATGCAAACTGTTATTTTTACTTTTTGAGCCATTTGTATTTGATTGTCAAAATGGTTCCATTTGATATTCCTACCAACAATGTATTAGGGTGACACATAAGAATTTTAAAAAATGATTATATCCTATTTTCTGGAGGATATTTTCAAAACCTCTATTACTGCACTATCATTAATTGCATTCTGAATACTGTTCCAGGTTAGCAATGTCTTATTCATATATGTATAATTTTTAAAAACTTTTTTAAAATTAATTTTATTGAGAAACAAATAGCAATGAGACAGTTTCACATAGATAACTTAAATATGACTTCCTGTCACAGTTCAAATGTATTTTTATATAAGCCTATACTTAGTAAAAAAAAAAAAAAAAAAAAAAAAAAAAAAAAAAAAAAAAAAAAAGCAAATCAGACGCTTCCATGATGTTCATCACGAAAAAAGTATTTTATACGAGTGTGTAAGATAGTGTCTCTTGTTGCATACTGGTATGACACAGCTAGTTTCCTATATTGGAATATTTCTGCATTCAATTGTGAGATTATACAAAATCAATTTGTATGCATATCTGGAGAATTTTTATGAGACTAAATAAATTTCAACATGGTCTCATATATTGTGTTTCTTTGGTTGTAATATTTCTTCTCACATCTTGATTTGTTCCCTTTAAGATATTAAACTTTCCCATTGTACTACTGCCTCTAAGCTGTTCCAGGAAAAGTATCCTATTCTTTCCCCTACCCTGGCTAAAAAATGTTAGCTACTTGGGGATTAGGGGATTTTTATTCCTAGAGAATAACTGGTTGTCCCAGAATCCCTACTATGCGCCCCTCCACTTTCTCTCTTGCTGCTGCTGTCCTTTCCTGCAGTATGTTGTAATTCAGGCAGGAAACTGAAAGCCACTTTAAGAGTCTAATAACTGGCAACCTGAGAAAGTATCTGATACCAACTCTTAGGGAATATTCCTCTCACTTATAAAAGCAAATTACCTCAGTTTTCCTGAGCAATTTTTGTATTTTTCTTCAACTTGCTGGTTGTCACAGGTCCTTCCTGAATTGTAGCATAGAAACACAAATAGTCACTGTATCATTATATAAGTTAGTAGATAACACTTAGATATGTGATAATGTAAATAGACCTGATATATTCTTCAAAATGTTTTCACATTCTTTTTAATGAATCACTATCAATGAGCAACAAAGAACCAATGCTGTCTCACTGTATAAACAACAACATGATATCATCCTTACCTACAGTTGTTATATTCATAAATGTTTCCCACATCACATCTCTGTAGAGCTTCTTTTGGGATGGATTCAGCAAAGCCCACTCCTCTGTGGTGAAGTTCACAGCTATATCCTCAAAGGTCAGTGTCTCCTAAATAATCACATATATATTTCCTGAAAGAAGGTTGAAACTCACACTGTGAGTTATCTGAATTTCTCTTGCAAAAGCTGACCTGAAGTTGATCTCTTCATATATTAACTCCATGTCTTAGGCACTAAGCCCATGTTAATGCATATATCTTCCCACAGCAATTCTGATGCTAGAGTGCAACTTAACACTGCAGCAAAAGCAGAAGAACCCTAGTAGCACTTGGTTGCCAGGCAGAATTATAGAAACTGTACTTATCTACTGTTTCTAAAGCAAAATCCATAGAGATAGTGATCTGCAAATCACCATCCACAAAACACAAGCTCAGATAAATACCCAATAGATGGTTCTGATAGATTATAAAAGTCTCAAGGTATAGCCATTTAGTTAGAAATGTCTTGAGCTTATATCCTTCTTTACAGCAGAGTAGTATAGCATCATAAACAACAGCAAAAATTCTTAGATCTTCTTTATCCATTCATCAGCTGATTGGTATTTGGGCTTTTCCCAAGATTTAGCTATTACAAATTGTACTGCTATCATATGGTATGCATATACTGCAGAGGCATGACGCTTTTAATTCTTTCAAGAAAATACCAAGAATGGGAATAGCTGGGTCAAATGGAACCCATAGGTTTAGTTTTTCGAGGAATCTGAGATGTTCACATGAGTAGGGGAATAATGGAAGGGTGTAGGGGAGGAAAGAAATGACCAAAAAAATAGAAGAGAAAAGGGAAACAGTTTGCAAATAAAGTGGGAAGAGGAATTGAAGGGTTTACAGGACAATGGGAAAAGGAAAAGATATTCAATATGCAAGTACAAATTTCCTGTGATGGGCCAGGGAAATATCTCAGTAGAATAAGCACTTGCCTGGCAAGCGCAGGGTCCTGAGTTCAATCCCTTGTACCGAAAAAAAAAAAAAAAAAATTCCTATGATGAATGCTATGCACATCTACTATGTAAATCTATTATGTACTAATACAAAACATAAAATAATAAGGTTTATGAATAATGATTAAAATGGAAAGCCAGAATTACTGGCACAAGTCTAGTGACAATGAAATAGGGGATAACCTGGCACTCAAAAGGTTAAATTCTTAAGGTTATATAAAATTCCCAGTGCAAATGCAGCACAGGGTAGCTCAATGACAAGTGGTGAGACAGAGAAATATGAGAAGTCAGGAAATTTACATCATACCCATCATGACAGTCTGAAATTGCTCTTATCTACAGTGTCAACACTGAGCACAATCAGTTCAAGTTTGACCTATGACCTTTCCCAATTTTTCTTTTATGCTCAAAAGTGTATTATGTGCTGAGGACAAACAATTTTACAAGAAGAAAACCTCTGCCTAAAATCAATACACCACCCCAAAAGTCCATAATGTTGACAAATTCAGAACACAGTCCTCCTATACTGCTTCAAATTGTTATGGAATGCAGGAACAGACCAGATGGAACACACAGCACCAGAAGCACTTGGAAGGCTAACTTTATTATGCTAGCAGACTGAGGGACACTAAGGTCCCAATCACCAGTCTCATCTTGGGGTTTTACAGTCACTTATAAAGGTTTTCAGAAGGAAGTACAAAAGGAAGATAACAAGATATTCTATAATTGTTTACATACATTTAATCATATGTGGTCAGACAGTTTTACTTCAAGCAAGTCAAATGGGAGTCTCTTATCATACAGCAGCAAAGTCAGGGGCTGGGGTGAGCAGAAAGAACCAATCTTGTCTTAGACTGAGCCCGTTCCATCTCTAGGTGATAAATCCTTGAAAGAAGCTAACACAATGAGAGGGACTGTTTGGCACTCATCTTACAAGTTGCAGGTGATGCTGGAATGCCACGGAGAGTTGAGTTTTGTTATCCTCTAATTATGAGAACAGGCTGAGATTGTCCCATCCTTGAATATAGTATTAGAAACATAAGTTTTTAAAAATTTCCTTTACAAAATGAAGACTGCTGTCCAAGGCATATGATGTTATTTTTCACGAGAAGTCATCATCCTGAAGCTCTAAAGCTGTGACACACTGAGTTACACATTAATAGAAATGAGCATATTTTCTCAAAGTGGTTTTTGATTTAAAAAATAAAGGGCATTCTTATTGTCCAGTTAACTATGGTAGTCTTAGTTGCTCTCTAATAACCTGGAAAAAATATCATCTAAGAATTATAGTACACAGACAACTAATCTCACATTGATACTTACTAGAGTAAGAAGTTTCTAAGGAAGTCTTTCAAAATGACCCACACACACTCTCAATGAAAAACATTTTCAGCATTCTTGACATTAAAATGAATAACTGATGATGTTTACTTTAACCAAGAACTGTGATCCTGGTATAGAGGTTCTGCCTGGTGATCCACACATGTGATCCTGTCACTCGGGGAGGCTCAAGCTAGAGGATAACAGCACTGATCTCAACCTGAGTGCCACAGCAAAGCAGTGAGAAAATTCAAAATTATAAAACCAAACATGTAAAAGGCTGGATGTCACTCAGAGAGAAGGTTCCAGGTTTAATCTCAAGTAACACAAAGTAGTTTGAAATCATTTCAACCCTTCAGTATACCCTTCCCAGTACACATACATTCTGTTTTTCACCCAACTTCTAAATATGAAACAGAGGTAAAATTTCTAATTTTGCCTCAAAAAATGATTATGTGAGCTTAGGAGTAACAGATACATATATTTCCTAAATTTCTGTCTTTGAATTCCATAACCTTGATGCACATACAAATTGAGCCAGTGCATAACAACTTATCTAATAACACTAAGAGCACTCTCAGTGAGCTGATTTTTTACCTTTCTTTATCCTCTCCTTTTACACATAGTATCTATTCCTTCTTACTTCTTCTTCACAGAAATCCCTTTTGTGCTTTCTATTTTTTTTTCTTTTTTTTTAAATTTATGTATTTGGTACAGCATCTATTTGTAGCTTGGACTCATAGGGATCCTCCTGTTTTCAGCCTCTCCAGTGCTGGGATTACAGGTGTGCGCCACCAAGTCCAGACACAGTTGCTGGCTCAGTGCACCTGGAGTGTGGGCCAGTGTGGCATGTGGGACCAGGGATCAAACCTTGGTCCTTGAGCTTGCCTAAGCAGGAGCTTAGTTTGCTGAGTTATCTTGCTGGCCCTTATAATTTCTATTGACATACATGCAGACCTACACTTGGTGATTTCCCCCCATGCAATACTGGTTTTCATCAAAATCCTACCTCATTTAGTATGTCCCCCTTTTTAAGCGTTGTCTAAAAATTATGAAGAACTAAAACAATTATGTGAGCAATGGTGCTTTTCTCTCCCATTTATCCAAGAACTGCATCTACATGTGAATGCCCTATATTAAGGAGTATAAAAATGTGTGTTTAATGGGCAACCCCTTCTGCAAGTAGTTTGTTTTGTTTTGTTGCATTTTAGGGAAGAATCTACAGGGTGTTCAGGGACTCACTACTAGATTGGATTTGTAGTGATCTGCTTGTTTACAGCCTCCCAAGGACTAGGGTTACATGCATGTGCTACCATGCCCAGTCTTGCAAGTAGTTCTTTACAGCATTTAATTTTATCCTTTCTTAAAGTAGTGGCATACCCTCTAATTTGTGGCATTATGTAAAACAGAAAACCTTATTTATTGATTATAATACTCTAAATATAAGAAAGGAGTTTAATTGTGGTTGGCATGTGTCAAAACACTGATTTTCATTATAAGCAACATTCAACTTTTTTCCCTGATAGTTCATATGATTTGTAAAAATTCTGTGATTTTCAAATTGTGCAGAAATGTTTGGTAATAATGGAATTTGACCCACGGTAATAAAGCCCACAGCAGAAAATACAACTTGTACTTGAGATCTCATATTTAAACTTTTAAAAAATTTAGTACAATTAGATGTCTCTGCTGTCAGTAGGACAAAAATAGCCCATAACTTCAACTTAAAGCATTAACATTTACGCCGAGTCACTGTTTCAATTCAGGTTCTCCTGGTTCCAGTGGCTGAAACTGGATGGTAAAGTCACAGTGGACGAAAAGGAACTTAAACAAGGACAGCCAGGAAGAAGGGAAAGGTAGGACTAAGACAGACAAGAATGCTCCTTTCCAGGCCAAGACCTTAATAATTCACCAAAAAAACCCAAAAAACAAACAAACAAACAAACAAAACATCTTCTAATTGCACATTAAGATATTGAACTCACTGGTGAAGGAATCCACTGAAGGACAGGGCCCACAGAAACCACTCAACTTTCACACTTACGAGACATTTAGTGGACATTGCAGACATAAACTGTAATATTTGGTGTGTTGACAGGAGAAAAAAGTACAAAGCACAGCTCAGTCTCACCCACACAGAATCTTCATTAAGTCCGCAGTCTCACTGCACAGAAAGGCCGTAGGCACTGAGCTGGGAGAGGCAGGGCTCTTGCCACAGCGGAATCACCTCCCTTGTCTAGGGCAGGATGCTTAGTTCTTGGCAGAAGCACTGCTCATTAAGGGCCAGTAAAGATGAATGTGTATCAGTGACACTGCATGTAGATGAACAAAATTGTTCAACTGATTCTGAGAGGCTCAAATCTAGCCAAAGCTGGTTCTGTTCACTTCCAGTAAGAACTTCTGCTACCAAAGGGGAATGAAAAGAAAGGGAAAATATACACATACACACAACAAAAAGATAATTATATTACTAATTTCTTTTAATTAATTGAAAGGAATAGTGCCTATATTCCACGATCAATTTCGCTTGCTTATATCTGGTAAGGGGATCAACTACTCTGAAGATAACAATATGCAATACAATAACCACTGCTACTTTCCTATCATCTTGTTTTGAAACTGCATCAGTTTTATTGTTTTCCTCTTTAAAAAGAAAAAAAAAATCAAACATATTCTTGTCTTTGCTCATTTGGTGCTGCAAAATCACCTTCTCGGGCACTGAAGTCTCCCAGGTCCTGCTCATGTTATCAGTCAGCTGACGCCACCACGAAAGTCAGGCTGAGCCAGTTTGGGAATCTCTCACACCATTTACTTCAACCAAGTTACAAGGAAATGCAGAGTTCTCACAACTAATCATAACAGGAAGGCCAGAATAAACTTAACACAGTGAATTTTCCAAAATATCCTTTTTCTCCTCACAGGCTGAAAGTTTCTCCCCTTTGGCATAATAATTTCACCAAAGTAATGTTCTCACATTGGGCCATGTGAAATTTAGATTTCTGTTGTCATATTTGTTGGTTTGAGATGCCCAAGACATTAATAAACCCGTTGTCTTACTATGTCTGAGTGAGGCTAAAACACCCGACAAAAGAAATCACATCTAGTGGCCAGAGAGGAACTCCACAGCAGAGTGGTCCGGTCATTTCGGGATTGGCCAGAGCAGAATGCCACAGCAGAGCTGCTCTGTTGGTTTGGGAAGGGCCAGAGAAGAACTCCAGCAGAGAGGCTTTGTTTGGGATCCTGCAGCTGAATTCCCTGCAGATCAGCTAGGTGGGAGACCCAGTGAACTCAACCAGGAGCAAAACATCTAGCCAACAGGGCACAGTGCGTTCACTTCCATGGGCTACGGAAGGAAGAAGCCAAGCACAGCAGCCAGACACCAATCAGGTCCCGCTTGTCAAGTTCCAGTTTGGTAGATCCTGACCCAATGAGCTGAGACATACTGCTAGGCCCACTGGGGCAAGAATGAGACCCAGACCTACAGAAGCATCTGCTCCAGACAGAGTTGGCAACAGGTGACTGAAGTGAACTAGTCTGCCTCAATGTCTCCAGGTACATGAAGGGGAAGTAACCAGAGAGAACTTAGGGGAACAGATTTAAATACAAATTGCCAATTTAATATGTGCTTAGCTATACAGCCATAATGTTTGCTCTCATGGACTAAAATACAAACCCAATAGCTAACAAAAGTTTGGCAATTGCTAAACCTCACCCAGTATTAGTGTTTCTAATTGTATTACTGTAAACAGAAAACCTTATCTGCCTTAACCACATGTTCTCTCTTGGGTAATAATTTCGGGAGGCACTTGGGTAATGGTCTCACCAAAGCCCTACACCGAAGGAAAGAGGACAGTGCCAAACAGAAACCAGGATCTCACTCTCAATCAATAGAGAGGGCAAAATCCTGGGACACACACAAAACAAGAATCCCTGACACAGAAGAGACACCTAAGGACCAGACTCGTTACAGAGAAGCTCTGAACACAGTGATACAGTTAACGACTAACACCCTCACAAAACAATATCACAGAAATAAAAATAAAGAGTCCTCTCTGAAAAATAAAATGACAAAAAGAAGGAGCAAAATGTATTCTCAGGCCCTGAGCCCACCCAGAAGAAATGCAAGAGACACTAGCATAGAAGAAATTCGAAGTCACACACCTAAAATCTCTGAAATAATAGCGTCTCAAAGAAACAACTGCTGAAGGCTTTAGAGGAAATTGATCAGAAATAATCGCCTAAGTAAAACAAGAAATGATAACTATAATGAAAGAATGACTAAGTGTTTCTAAAGAAGATACGGATAAAAAATAGAGAATAGAAAAATGACAGAAACCTTAAATGAGCAATGCAGCAAAGAAGTAGAATGCATAAAACAGATTAAAAGAGATATTCAGGAGATTAAACACTCAAAAGTTAGCAAAACTGTCTGAAGGAAAATGAAGGTAGTTTTAGATCTTGATGACACTTCAGCAGCTAGTAAAAGGTAAGGAAAGATCTCTTAAAAACAACTAGGATCCAGGAAACAATAATTCAACAGCTGTAAAACAATGCAAAGATGAACATCATAAGACTAATAGGCATCAATGAGAAAGAAGGAGTCAAAACAAATAATATGAAAGTAATATGGACAGAAGTAATTGAAGAAAGGATCGGCTAGATAGCGCAACAGACTAAAGTGCCTGCAGTCTCAGGGGCTGGGGATTCGATCGCTGACTTGCTATGCCAGACCCGCCTCTGGGACATGCTGCAATGGCAATTGAAACTGGGCATAGTGGTGCACACCTGTAATCCCAGCACTTGGGAGGCTGAAAAACAGGAAGGATCACTATAAGTCTGATCTGTGTGGTGAGACCTTATAGACCTTGTACTAAATATATTTAAAAAAATAATCAAAGAATAGCAGAAAACTTCCCAAATATAAGGAAACAATCTGACGTCCAGGTAACTGAGGCATATACAACTCCAAATAATACCAACCCAATTAAAACCATACCCGGACATATAATAATCAAGATCCCAGAGATCCAGCACAAGCACAGCATACTAAAAGCTCCAGGAGAAAAAAAAAAAAAAAAGCAGATCACATTTAAAGGAAAATCCATCAGAATGATGACAGATTAATCCTCACAAACCATCAAGTCAAGAAGAGCATGGGGTGAAATACTTCAAGTCCTACAAGAAAACAAATTCCAACCCAGAATGATTTACCCTGCAAAACTCTTTCAGCTTTAATGAAGCGAAATACTTTCACAACAAAGAACAACTAAAGAATTTCATGGTGACCAAACCAACCCTACATAGAATACTAAAAAGTATTCTAGACAAAGATCAAAATGACCACAACTCTAAGAATGAGAATAGAAAGAACCTACCAAATAGGGCAAAAAAGTAAGCACAGCAGAAAAGTAATCGACAGCAGAAAAAATAACATGACAAACATAATACATATCAATTTTAACCATTCATGTAAATGAACTCAATTCACCCATTAAAAGAAATAGATTGGCACAGTGGATTAAGAAACAAAATCCAACAATATGCTATATACATGAAACACATTTAACTCATAAAGAAATTCATAGGCTAAAAGTCAAACAGTGAAAACACTACTATATGCCCCAGGACCTTAAGGACAAAAAAAAAAAAAGGCAGGGGTAACAATCTTGTTTGTAGATAATCTCAAATTCAAACCAAGAATGATCAAATGAAATAAAGAAAGCCATTACATAATGATTAGAGGAAAAATACAAAAGGAAGAGGTAACAGTCATAAGCATATATGCACAAAATTTAGGAGCACCAAATTATATAAGACAAATTTTAATGGACATGAAAATTCTAATATCCAATAACACAATCCTAACTGGCCTCCTTAACACCCCTTTATGTCAAAAAGATAGGTCAAACAACAAAAAATTACCAAAGAGGTAGCAGAATGGAATCAGACTTTTTTTTTTTTTTGTATTTTAGGACAGGGTGTACAGGTGCATAGATCGGACTCCTAGTGATCCTCCTGTTTACAGCCTCCCAAGTGCTGGGTTTACAGGTGCGTGCCACTATGCCCAGTCTCAACTGCTGTCTCAGTGTACCACAGGGGTGGGGCTGGCACAGCAGACAAAGGGATCGAACTCCCAGCCCCTTGGTCTAAGCAGACACATTAATCCACTGAGCTATTTGGCCAGCCTTTGAACCAGACTTTTGAATAAATGGATTCAGTGGACACATAAAGTGTTCCACCCAAGCACAACTGAATATACATTCTTTTCAGCTGCACACAGAATGTTTTCTAAAATACACCATGTCCATAGGTCATGCTTAAATATATGCAAGAAAACAAATTATCCAATGCACATTATCTAACGAGTGCAATAAAACTATAAATTAATGAGAAAAGAAACCACAAAAATCCCATAAGTACATGGAAATTAAACAACATCCTCATCAACCAATGAGTTACAGATCAAATTAAAGAACAAATTAAACAATATCTACAACCCAATAAACTTTGTGCAGAGGCAGTATTGTAGCCAATGAGGTTTAGCCAAGGCACAATTACTGTTAGTTGAAAACTTTTCCCAACACAATCCACCAAAAACTGAACTACAACATACTAGAATTTGTGGGATGCTATGAAAGCAGTTCTTACAGGGAAATTTATAGTGGTAAATTCAGAAATTATGGAACAGAACAAGAACAAATAAATACCCTAATGCTACAACTCAAGCTTCTAGAAAAAGAAGAGCAAACCAAGCCCAAAGCTCAATATGGGAGGAAATCTTAAAGATTACAGCAGAAATTAATACAACTGAGACAAAGAAAATAATACAAAGAATTAATGAAACAAAAAATTGGTTACTTGAAAGATTAAATAAAATTGACAGACTCCTAGCTAACCTCATGAAAAGAAGGAAAGAGAAACTCAGATTCAAGCAATAAGGAATAAAACGGGCAAAAGTACCACAGATCTTGTGGAAATTCAGAAGGCCATCAATAGCTACTTTGAAAATCTTTACTCTCACAGAATCAAAGACAGAAAAAATGGACAACTTCCTAGACAGTACAAATTACCAAAATTTAATCAAGAAGATATAAGAACTTTCAATAACCCAATAACAGCCAATGAGATTCAAAATGTAATAAATTACCAACAAAGAAAGGCCCAGGTCATGATGGATCCTCAGCTCAATTCTAGAAGAAATTTACACAAGATTTAATCCCAATACACCTCAGACACTTCAATGAAATTTAAAAGGAAACAATATGCCCAAAATAATTTCTGGGATTCATCCCTGAGATGCAAGGATAGTTCAACATATGCAAATCTTTAAACATATTACACTACATTAATAGAGCCAAAACCAAAATCCACATGATAATATCAGAAGATGAAGAAAAGATTTTTGACAAAGTCCAACACTAATTCATGATCAAAGCCCTACAGAAAAATTGGAATAAATGGCCTCCACCTCAATCTGATAAAAGCCATTCATGATAATCCAACTGCTAACACAATTCTAAATGGGGAAAAACTGAACTCTTTTACCCTCAGATCAGGTACAAGACAAGGATGTCCTCTATCACCACTCCTATTCAATATAATTCTGGAACCATTAGCTAGAGCCATCAGACAAGAGAGAGAAATAAAAGGAATAAGAATATGTAAAGAATTTATTTATTTATTTATTTATTTATTTATTTATTTATTTATTTTTGTGGAACCAGGGATTAAACTCAGGCCCTTGTGCTTGCCAGGGAAGCACTTATTCCACTGAGCCATCTCATTATTTGTAGATGACATAACAGTCTAGTTGGAAGACCCATAAAACTCCACCAACAAGCCCTGAGAATTAATAAACAAATTCAGTAGAATAGCAGGTTACAAAGTCAATAACCAAAAGTCTATAGCATTCGACCACACAGATAATAAACACAATGAGAGAAAAATTAGAGAAACAATAGCCTTCACAGTAGCATTCAAATAAATTAAATACTTAGGAATTAATCTAAGTAAAAGATCTATGTGATAAAAATTACTTTAAAAAAGAGAATTAAAAAAAGGATATTGGAAAATGGAAAGATATTCCTTGATCCTGGATAAGAACCAACACTGTGAAAATGGCTATAGTTCCAAAATTATTATACAGATTTAATGTAGTATCTATTAAAATTGCACTAACACACCTCACAGATCTAGAGAGAAACTTATTTCGAAGAAGACCTAGAATAGGAAAGGCAATGCTGGGTAACAAAGGCAAGGCAGGAGGCATTACAATCCCAGATTTGAAATTATACTACAAAGCTACTTGAGAAAATCAGCATGGTACCGGAAAAAACAAAAACAAAAACAAAAAAAAACAAAACAAAAAAAAACCCTCATACCTGAAGATCAATAGAATAGATTAGAAAATGCAGATATAACTAACTTTAAACACACTCAGTCATTTTAACTTTCACAAAGGGGCCAAACATTCACTGGAAGAAAGATAGCCTCTTTAACAAATGGTGCTGAAAAAACTGCTCACCACATGCCAAAAACTAAAACTAGACCTGGGTCTATCACCATGAACGAAACTAATGTCAAAATGGAGTAAAGACCTAAACATTAAAATGGAAACACCAACTATCCTGGAAGAGAAAGTAGGTAGAAATCTTGAAGACACAGGGAATGATAGACAGTTCATGAACAAAAATCAAATTACCCAGGAAATACTTGAAAGAATCAACAACTGGAACCTCTTCTTATTGAGAAGTTTTTGCACATCAAAGAAAGTCACCAACAAGTGAAAAGACAACCCATAAAACTGGAAAAAATCTTAACCAATAATCACACAAAGGTCTTCTGTTTAGAGTATATAAAGAACTAAAAATATTAGGGCTCCAAAATTTAAAGACCCAGTCCAAAAATGGGCATCTGAGATGAGTACACATTTCTCAGAGGAAGAAATACAAGAGGCAAATAAATACATGAAAAAATGCTCCATATCACTGGCCATTCGAGAAATGCAAATTAAAAGAACATCGTAATACCATCTCTCCCCAGAAAGAATGGCTATTATAAATAAATCAACTAATAACAAATGCTGGAGAAGCTGCAGGGGAAAAAAGTCACACTTCTCTAATGTTGGTGGGAATGTAGACTCATACAACCACTATGGAAATAAGTGTGGAGACTCCTCAAAAAAACTAGGGCTGGAAGTTTCATTCAATCTAGCTATTCCCTTTCTGGGTATTTTCCCAAAAGAACTGAAAACATGGTATCAGAATGATTTATGTGCACCCATGTTTATGGCAGCACAATTTGTCACAGCCAAATCTTGGAAACAAGTCAATGTCTGTCACCTGAGAAATAAATGAAAAAGAGATATTTTTATACAATTGAGTATTACCCAGCTATCAAGAAAGACAAACTCAAAGCCTTCATAGGTAAATGGATGCAACTAGAAGCTATCCTCATTAGTTAAATAAATCAGATCCACATGTGTAAATATCATGTAGTCTCCCTAGCGTAAGAACCCAAAGAAGAAATAACGCCTGAAAGTTATAACAGATACAGTAAAACTTATGGATCAAACAATGAAGATGAGAGAAAGGAGAAAATAGGTAAAAAGGCACGGGGAAAAACATGCAAATACATATACAAGATGGCTGACATGATTGTACTAAACTTTTCTATCGGGTTTCTGAAAATAGTTAGTATGTAGCATTTTCACCTTGACTGTATGCTGATATTTGTGAATTAAGCAACTACATCAAGGACAACAATGTGTAATACAAAAATCATGCTTGAATACTTGCCATCTTGGTCTTTTAAATGTGTTGTACCATTTCTACTGTCATATCAATTATCATTATACTCTTCAAAATATTTTTTTTAAAAAGACAAAAAGAAAAACAAGAGGAACAAGAACAAAAATTTAAGGTTTTTGGAAAACAAGCAGTAATATGCAATCATATGTCCAATGTTACATAACTATATCTGTTGATCTGAGCAACAGATTTGATGATAAAAATAATGTATCAACCATTGTTAATCAGCTATTCTTGTTCTGCAAATCTGTATTGTTGTATTATTTCTGTCATTGCACCTGATTTTTGTTCTTGCTTTTGTCTTTTACTTTTCAAGATGAAATAATAAAACATAATTTAACAAAAAAAATTACATCTGTTGCATGGCATAGTCCTTCCAGGCCGTCTTTACTAAAGGATCTCCACTGGATGGAAAGAGTTGATGCTGGAAGCCTGAATTATGTTGAGACTAAATTCAAATGCAAAGGCACACAACACAGCTCATCCACAGAAAACTAGGGAAATTTACTTTTCCCTCTTTATTCAATTTAGCGTGCAAGATTCTTGTTTGCTGTCAATGACATACAGGGTGGGTCATCTATTCTGGGTTAATGTCCTATAAGGCAGACATCCACAGAGAAACACTAAGCTTTACAAATGGGTTATACTTATGACTTCAAGAGTTCTATATGCTTTGTCTTCCAGCAGATTACGAGTGTCTCTTCTAATACTTAGATATGTGATTTCAAGTTGTTCATATGTTAGGCTGGTAGTAACTTGAAGGTCCACAGTAAAAGCATTTTAAACAAGGAAGAATTCAAAATAAGCTGATTTGAATATGCCTTGATAGTTTACATAGAGGAGCCAAAAATCCCATTAGATGGTATTTACAAATAACAAACAAACTCAGTAAAGTGAAAGGACTCAAACTAAATAACCTAAAATAAATAGGATTCATACAGAGAATGAACTCACTAAGAAATGTGAAAAACTGTATTCAAAATAGGAAAAAAAAACCCTAAAACATTAAATACCTCAAGTAACCTAACCAATGAAGTGAAAGACCTGCTTAGTGAAAAATATACTTCCTCAGAAAAAGATCAAAGATATTAGAAATTGGAAATGTCCTTCAAAATAGAGATAACATCACCAAAATGGGCATATTAACAAAATGACAAAAGATTTAACTCAACCTCCCTAACATGCCATCAATTCTATTTTCACAGAAAATACAATTCTATTTACAATTAATATTATATTGTCTTTTATGGGTAGGCCAGATAGTTCAGCATAATAAAGTGTCTGCTGAAGCAGCCCCAGGGGCCATGGGTTCGATTCAGGGCCTATTGTGCTGGCCCCGCCCGTGGGGCATAATGAGAGGGCCATTGAGACTGGGCATGGTAGCGCATGCCTGTAATCTCAGCACTTGGGAGGTTGCAAACAGAAGAATCACTAGAAGTCCAATCTGTATAGTGAAACCCTGTAGACCCTGTACTAAATACATTTTTTTTTAAATGTCATTTATAATCAGACGGCAGCTAGGTAGTATCCTGATTTCATATTTTTTGTAAATACAAAATTAGAAGTTTTCAACGGCTGACAGCTGGTTATGTTTTTTAGAAAACACAATTAGACTAACTCATTAACAGTAGCTTCATGCTTTTCCTTAATAGTACCAGATCACTGACTCACCCTTTTACCCTTTTAAAAAAGACTAGAAGGTTGGCCATGCATTACATATCAGTCTGCAGTGACCTCCAGTAATCCATGTGTATTTCAAGGAACAACAACTTTGGAATGTTTTTCAGACAAGGAATGAAAGAAAGGCTTGATCACTTTGCAAGACCCTACTCACGTGGCTG